TCTAGGAAACCAAGGGTCAACGCGGATGCGGGAAATGAGCGCCTCTGGAGCCGAAAGTTGACTAGTGCCTCAGACTTGACCTGTCCGAGCCCCTTCCCCAAAGTACGGAATTCCAACTGGAGAACTGCTTCTCTCCCCACCCTTACGATAAATCATGGCCAGCAGCGCAAAGCGCACATCCCAGGAGACCCAGGGCAACATAAACATCCCAGAAACAGAGCCCCTGCTGGGAAAAAGCCGCTTCTAGAACCTTCTAAACACCACTCCTCTACCAGCCCTCAGAGCTTTTACTTCAGACCAACGAGATGGAGAGGAGAAAGGACAAGGGCCCCTCCCCAGAGCCGACGCCAGCTGGCCCAGGTGCACCAGGTGCACCCCGGGGGCGTCGGGGGTGCGGGGGTCGGGGGGCTCGAAAGGCCCCTTCTGGGCCGTGGAGGGGGGTAGACGCCTCCGGGTGGGGGTGGGTGACGGGTGGGTCCCTTACGGTCTCCCTCAGCTTCCTCTCGCAGTCCAGCTCGCGCTGCAGGCTGCCCGCGCGCTCCTCCGCGGAGTCCGCCTGCTCCTGCAGGCTCCGGATCTTCCTGCGCACGGCCTCCAGCGAGCTGCTCCCCGCCATGGCTGCGGGCGGCGGCGGGCAGGCGCGCGGGCTGCGGCTGGAGAGGGCGCCTGCTGCGTTCCCGGCGCTGCGGCTGCTGCTGCTGCTGCTGCCGCGGCCGCTCTCGGGAGGACCCGGCCGCCCCGCCCAGTCCGCGCGGCGCAGCGGCGGCGCCGAGCGGCCCAGGACCAGCCCGGAAGTCGCGGCCTCCCCGGCGGCGCAGGGGAACCGCAGGCCGGAGCGCGAACGCCGGGGGCGGGACAGCCCGGCTGGGCGGGGCGCACGCCCCGGGAATTTGCCAGCCGCGGGCGGCACCGCGCATGCTCCCGGCAGCGGGGCTGGCGGATGGGGGCGCCGCGCCGCCGCGGCACCTGGCGGGCTGGGCCCTGGCTGGAGGCCGGAAACCGCGCAAGGGATTTTACTTCACTCCTAGCGCCCCTCCCCGGCGCCGCGGTGACCCGGGGTAACGGACCTGGCTGTTCAGGGCGATGGTGCCACCTGCTGGCCGCGGGGGCGCTCCGCGCCCGAGTCCTGGACGCCCAAGCTCTGGAAGGAGAGAAGCTGAGCGAGGGGTTTTGGGGCAGGAATGTGCCCCCATAACGCGGCTGTTCCTAGTGGTAAAGAAGCCCAGAACACAAGATCCCAACCACAACCACCTTCCTCTTCCCCCACTTCACAACTCACAAAGTGAAAACCTCTAACTATTGCATCGTGGTTATACCTCCTCATCTAGATGCAGCCTCTAAATTTGAATCCGGCTAAGTTCTCTTCTGGCTGTGTGACTCTGGGCAAATAACTTCACTGGGCTTCAACTGTACAAATGGGTTTAACAGTACTACTTTCCTTGTAGGGTTGCTGTGAGGATTATGAAATAATGATTAGTGACGTGATTAGTACAATACCGTGTACGTAGTCAATGCAAAGGACAACTTTAGTTAATAAATTCGCAAGTTCTGTTTTTAAAGAGTCAGGACCCACACAAGCTGGGTGATCTCTGGCCTGCCAACCTCTAAGGGGTTCACTTTCCTCTCCATAAATAAAACCTAGGGTCCCTTATAGTTGCCACCTTTTTTTTTTAAGATTTATTTATTTATGCATATAAGAACTGGGGTACAGGCCAGAGGTTTGGGGGTGAGAGGACTCACCAGAGACAGAATGGGGAGCAGAACAGGCAGAATGACTGAAATACACTGCTGAGGGGAGCAGTGGGGGAGACAGAAGAGGTGTGCTGCGCCATGTGGGTTTCTCCCTGGCTGGCTGGGAATCAAACTTGTACCGCAGAGGCTACAGATTGCTTCATAGTGTGGTGCTTAACCCCTTGCGCCACCAGGGAGGCCCTAGTTGCCACCTTTTTTGATTTGAGATCAGTCTCTGAGATCTTCTGGAATCTGACCTATTCTGGCTGTATTAGACTACCTTGAAGAGGTACACCAAGGAAAAAGCATCTGGCTACTGATGGATGAAATCCAACGTGGACACAATCTGTCAATTCTCCACTAGGGATGCATTTTTAGTGCCTTCTAAGTCTCCCTGCTTTTCTTCCTCACTTTTCTCAAAGGTGGCCCTTCAAGTCAGTTCCTGATGTGTGGGAACAAAGAAAAAAAAAAAAACACACCTGGCAACCCCTTCCTCCTCCAAAGATCTAACAGTGAACCTGACTCATTTTCTATGGATTTTCTCACAGCCTTAACCTAGAAGCTCACAAACCCCAGCACTGGCCCTCACATCCTGTAGGTGGAGCCTGGGGCTTTGTTTCCACACAGTTGGTCTGGTCAAGGCCAGTGGTTACAACTCCCCTTAAGGAGTACAAATAGTGGGGATCAACACTGAGGGTGGGAGAACCAGGGAAACTGCTGGACTTTGCAAGTGCTTTAAGCAGCCAACTGGTGACTTAATGTCCTGCTTTTCAAACACCTGTGAAAGTTTCAGGTGAGTTCATTTTCATGATGATGTCATTATAGAAGAGTCTAGAACAGTTGTTTTTAGCTTGGCCCGCACGTTGGAATCACCAGGGTATTTAAAAAATACTAAGACCTTGATTCCACTCCCAGGGATTCTGATTTAATTGGCTTGGGGGTGCAATCTGGGTTTTGCGTTTTAAACCCTTCCGAGGTATGGGTGAGAATCACTGATTTTGGAAGCAAAGCCAACAGGGAATAAAGACTCACACAAGCAAATAGTAGAGACACCCCATTTGTGAAAGGGGTGGGGGATCAGAGGGAAAATGGAACCATTGATCCCCTTCACCTCACTTAGATGGAATAACATTCAAAACAAAGCCATCAGTGATGGTATCTTGTGAATTACAACCCTTTAAACTAGGAAGAACTTACTTCTGGATTAGGATTTGTTAAGTGTGTTGGTAAATTAGTGGAAAAAGTTTTAGTAGTAGAAAAATGTAAAAATGTTTCACATTGCTGTGTAATGACTGAAATTTCCTAATCCCAGATGTAAGATGATTCTACCTCAGGAAGCTGACCTCTCTCCTACCGCCACCTCTCTCTGGTGACATCTGTCTCTTCCTCAAGTCTTGACTGTTTTCACTAGTTACGAATCATTCCAAATATAGTATTTCTTCAAAACTTCCTTAACAGTTTCCAAAAAACCTAAACTGCCTTAAAGGGGAAGATAATCAACATACCACACACAAAAAGTGCATGAGACAGTTTTTGATAAAATTGTGGAAGAACCAAAACACAGTCTCAAAAATTTCCCTCCCCTGCTGACCCCGCCTCTGCCATCTGACTTTAAATAGCCTCTTTTCCTTTTCTGCCCCACCTCATTCCAAGGCTCCCTTAAACAAGACTTTTCAATAAAGACATGATAGCGCTACATAGTTATAATAATTATTATTTTTTTCCTCTCTTAAGAATTGTAGTAGCATTTTTCTCCTTCTCTAGCCTTCAGTCTTTCTGGGCTATTTTCAAATTCTCTGCATTCTTTTCCTTATAAGGAATATCTCTCCTTCATCTATCAGCGGCTCTTTTGAAAAAGCTAAATAAACGTCCTGCTGGAGAATTTGGGGGAGACAGACAGCCTCCATTTAGCCATAAACTGAACAGACATCTGATCTACATTATACAAATCAGGCACAGAGTTATATGTATTTTTGGACTCTTTCTAAAGCCAGGTAGTTGGTAACGTAAAGGCTTTTCTGAACCTCTTTCTCTAAACCCCCTTTCTGGGAATCTTGATTTTCCCTGGAAATTTCTTTTTGTGAGATTTTTAATGTCCTATGTCTGGATTTCTCATTTCCAAAGCACACCCTGAGATTACATTTCAAGCCTCTCATGCCACAAAAGGCCTTTACTGATTTTTCCAAGACCCTCTAGCAATTTGCATTTTATTCTCAGACAAAAAAAATTCTGCCATTGCACTTGGTGGTTCAACTTCTGGACATAGCTTTCCCTGGTGCTCATACATTCTTGGATTGTTACCAACTTCCTAAGGAATTTCTTTCCTAATTGGGCCTCTAGGTTTAATTAGCTTCTAGAAGGGAATCCAACAGTGTGAAAAGAAGTTGGTCCTTTGGAAATCTAATGCTTGGCTTGACTTTACTTAGTAGCAGAGGCAAGCTCTTCAGTTAAAAAAAAAAAAAGATTCCAAAGGGCAGCGTACAAAGTGCTGGTACAGTTTTTGCAGTGTGTGCATCACCCCTGAAACTATGTGGTGCTGTCAGGAGGCTGACAGGTGGGGGTGGGGTGAGCAGGAGGGGCAGGGGCAGCTAGCTCACTCTACCATATAAAGCACTGAGCTATATATAACTCCCAGCTTACTTTCTGGAGCTGGTGCCTGACTGCAGACCCAAGCAAGTGTCATCTTCCCAGGCAGGTCTTAAGGGCTGCATTAAGATTTCCCTAGTAAAAAGGGAGGCCTCAAGTGTCTCTGCATCCTGCCATCAACTCAGCCTTCTAAGCAAAAGTTGTACCATACCATTCCTTCAATCTAGAGGACAGGCCTTTTGTATCCTGACTAGACTCACCATGGAAAACCAGGCCTTCCCATACACCAGAGCTGGGAAAAGGAAATAACATGAAGAAAACTGGGCATTCACCGTACAAACCTTGGTGATGACACCTCAGAGGTTTTCTGCCACCAGGGAGGCAAGTTTCACCTCCAGAATCCAATTTCAGCTGCTTTGTTTTCCCAGCTTCTCACCCACCCACCTCTACCCCCAAGGGTCCAGGGCAGAAAGAAGGAGAAAGAGAGAGAGGAATGGATGAAATGTAAATAAATGTGTGCAGTAGCAGTTGGAGAAGCAGCATCCAGTGCTCTGGGCCATGGCGAGGCTGTGAGGTGTTGGGCAGGAGGAGGTGATCCTCCTCTATTGCTCTCTGTCCCTGTGGTGACCCCAGAGTGGTCACCGGAGCAGGAAGCCAGGGAGGAAATGTGTGCGTGCACTTACATCGGTGGCCTTTTTCTCCGCCAGTTCCAACTTCTCCTGGGCATCTTTGAGAGCCTCGGAGTATTTGTCCAGTTCATCTTCAGTGCCCTTGAGTTTCTTTTGCAGCGACACCAGCTCATCTTCCAGCTGGGAGTTGGCCGTGGGGGAAGTGGGGTGGAGGGGGGGGGGTGCAGCAGGCAGCGTGATCCCGCAGGGGAGGGGTGTGGGTGCACAGAACCAGGAGGACAGGGACAGCAGGAAAGAGAGGGAAAGACAGGGAGGGAGAGAAAGAGAGAGACAGAGTTAGCCATTCCTGCGCTGCACAGAGCCGCGCGCCCTGGGTACCTTGGCGGCGGTCTCATCGGCGGCCAGGAGGCTGTCCTCCGCCTTGTGCAGCTCCTCCAGCACCCGGTCCCGCTCGTCCTCCGACACCCGCAGCAGCTTCTCCTTCGCCGAGATGTCTTCCTCGAGCTGGGGGGCAGCGGCGGGCGGGCGCGGGCGGCCGGCACGGACCGGGTGTTAGACACACACACACACACACACACACACACACACACAACACACAGGCGCATGGTTGGCTGGCGTCTCTTGGTCTTGGGGGGGGCCTCCGAGTTAGGGTCCTTAAGAAACTTCCTCTCGTCTGGAGTTGGAACCGCAAGGTGGCCCGTGCCACAACCCAGCTCCCCCCAGAAGAGACTCCAGCTGAAGTCTCAGCGGGCTTAAGTTCACAATTTAGGGGTGCAGAAAACCGCCCCGTCTTTCTGGCCTTCGGGCCGTACTCTCTTCCATCCCAACTTCATTCTTATGGGGAAAAAAAAAATCCTCCATTCTACCCTTCCCCCACGTCCCAGACTCTACCCCAGTCGAAGCTTCTAATCTTCTGACTTCAGTCAGAAGTCCAGAAGAACTTCTAACATTCTCTACAACTGATCCCGTGAACCACCCACCCCCCCACCGCATCCAAAATTGATTCCCGATCCTGAGAATCAAGTGCCTCTCAGATGTGAATCGGCCGCGCGCGCGGGCTCTGGGAACCAGAGTAGGGAAATAAGCGTCCTCGGACAGGACAAAAAGTTAGAATAAGCCCGAGTCTTGCTCTCCCCTTTCGCCTTCTGAGGCGCGCATCCCTGACCGCCCTGGGCTGGGGACGACTCCCCAGCTCTCGGGTGAAGGGCTGGGAAGGGTGCCAGGCTTGGGTCTCAGGACTCGCGGCCCCGGGGCGGGTGGAGCGCCGGCAGCCCACGGGTGCGGGGCCGGGGAGGCGCAGACCTGCTTGCTCCTGTCCTCCGCCGCCTTCTTGTCGGCCTCCGCCTGCTCGGCTCGATCCAAGGCGTTTTCCTTGTCGAGCTTCAGCATCTGCATCTTCTTCTTGATGGCGTCCATGGTGGCGGTGGCGCGGGGCCCTGGGGCTGCGGCGGGAGCTGCTCGGGGAACGTGTGGGGCGGCTGCTGAGCCGGAGTGCGAGCGCGGAGCTGTCTGCTGCTCCCAGATATGTACTCTCCCAAGGGGGCGACCGCATTCCTCAAGACAGCCAATACTTTTTTGGAAAAGCTTCTTTCTCCTGCCCCCTTTCCCCCTCAGTTCCCTCCGCCCCTTACCCCCTCCCCGCTCCTCCGGCTCCTCCCGCGGGGCCGCTCGCCCATTCGCTGCGCCGCCGGCCTCCCCTCGATGGTGGATATGCCTATATATGGGGACCCGAGCAGCCGCCCGGTGGCCGGTGGCTGCGGGGCGAGGCCGCCCAGTTCCCAAACCTGCGCGCCAGGGAGAGCGCGCAGCGGTCTCGCTAGGGCCGTGGCGCAAATCCCTGCCCTCTGCCCTCGGCTCTCCCTTCTAATACCAGAGCCCCTTGCCCAGCCATTAGTGTTCCCAGCCGGGAAGACACTGGAGGCCAGAACAGCAGGGCAGGCAGTGGGAGCGCGTCGCCTACCTGAGGTCCCCGGTCCCCAGCAGTGGCAGCACTAGGCGCTCCAGACTGCGCGCACCCGCACCCGCCCAGCACTTCCCCCGCGGCTTAGTGTGTTAAGTGTCATCCCCGGAGCTTGCGTTCAGAAACTCAAGTGAAGCTGAATTAGAGGACTGGGAAGACCTGGAAACCACCCCTGAGACTTCCTCTGCTGTTGGGGTCAGAATGCCCCCGAATGGGCTAGCTGTGTACCCCTGCCCCAGGGGAGGGACTGTCAGATACTTTAAGGACACAGGACCTGGTTATAGTATTTTTGCATGTACTTGTGTACGTTGCCCTTGCAAAGGGAAGGGTAGGACCTGTGTGTTGGAGGCTAGGTGGGTGGATGAGAATTTAAGGGGAAAGAACATTTAATTTAGACTCAGGCAACTTGGTTTTTGGTCTCTATCAGCAGCAGCTGTGTGAGTTTACAAGTAACTGCAGTTTCCTTATCTTTAAATCCGGTGGTCAATGATCCCTGAGGTTCCCCCAGATCTAACTTTTAAAATCATTTTTCTTGCACTGATTTTAGGAAGTCTGCCTCTTTCCATGTTAGGAGCTCAGATACCAAAATGTGGGATGTTATCCCAATTAAGTCATTGTCTGTACAGCCATAACTCTGAGGAGGGAACATGTCCAGCACTGTTTTGTGAGCTCTGCTTAGAGTCAAGAGGATTTCTCCTACACCTTTTACTCCTCCCAGCCCCCAATGAGGGGAATGCCTCCTCCTTTCTGAGCATAGGTAAAGGGGAGGAGCAGGGACAACCTGATGAGACTGGCTGAGGCTGAGTCGGTTAGGGTCTCGTGAACAGTCCCCAAAGAACAACTCACAATCTGTACTACATGGATACTGAATACTCCCCAGACATCATCTGAGCATATTAGGCAGGCCAAACAACTTGTACATCCTTCAGAGAACGATCAAGTTCAGCTCCAGGATTTCATCAGGTGTCTTCCATTAACCCAACTACCCCAGAGGGAAAAAATACCTTGACCTTAAGGTATTAAGGTCAGAACATTAGATCTGTGTGCATAGGGGCTGCCTGGCACAGAAATTCACCAGAATCCTTTAATTACCCTATGTTAACCCAGCCACTTGAAGACTGATAAAGTTCAAGGCTTGTGGGTAATATACAGGTGCATGGACCACAGGGAGCTAATTTCCCAGCATTAGCAAGGGGACAAGAGTAGGGATTTAGAAATTAGACTCTGGCATCCAAACCTGGCTTGGTCATGTTATTGCAGTGTGACTTTAGCCATGAGCAACCTCTTAAAGCCTCAGTTTTCTCTTCTGTTAAGTTTGGGTGAAAATTCTTCCCTTTGAGGCTTGTTACAAGGGTAAAAATGAGATAAAAACTTGATAGCATTTTGTCAAGCACACAGCAAACTGCTCAGCAAATTGTGGCACGCTGAGTGGCAGTGGGTGAGTTATTTTTTTTCTCTGGGCCTCAGTTTTCTCATATATAAAATGAGGCAACTTAACTGGAGAAACTCCTAGAGGAATCGTGCATAACCTAGCAGAGAAACTCACTAAAGTTTCCTTAAATGAATGAGTGCTATGGAAAATTCATCAAAAATATCATTATTGAGCACTTACTCTCAACCAGGTACTATGTGCTGGGATTTCCAAATGACTAAGACTCATTCATACCCTCCAGGTGATCAGCATGAGCAGGAATATGAAAATTCAGAAGAGTAAAAAATAGAAATGTCCAGGTCAGAGTAGACAGAAACAGACTTTTCTGAAAAGTGGTGGCTTTTAAATAAATTTTTAGAGGAAGGATAGCAATTATCTGGAGAGGAAGGTATTGTATGAGTTAAGGGAAGGTAATTGGACTGCAGGGAGATTTGGGTTGAACCAGGACATGAGACTGGGAAGGTAGATAGGGGACTATGCAAAGTTCCAGGTTCAAAAGTCCAGGTCTTCTGGTGTGGGTAAAAACCATCCATTCCTCTCCCCTTCTGCCTATCTCACCTATGTAGAAGTCAAAGACTGTGGTATCCCTGTGCAGAAAAGGTGCTGCACAGAACCATTTTTAAAAATCCCTTAGCACCTCATCATTGATCCCTCACTGATGAGTTAACATAGCAACATAGCAAGTCCTTGGACTCAGTCATTTCCATTTCATTTCTGTTGAGATTCTGACTCATAAACCACATGACTGCACCATCCATGTCCTTAAGCACTAAAGCAAGTAAAACATCATAACTGAAACATCATGGCATCAAACAACAATTCCTTCTGTACTACACAGGACTCTTGGTCCCTGAATAGGATTGGGGAAGGAGAGCAGGTAGCCACATGTTAAAGTGTATATCTGTGTTCTCCAGCTGCCTGGCCCTGACTTGAGGACAGTACATACGCCCAGGGTCCTAGTGTTGTGGCCTGTTAGACAAAGATGGACCGGGTAGCTCAACTTCTCTCACTGCAGTTTGAATTAAAGAATCTGGAAAATATGAATTACTAGCTGTGGCTGCTGAAATACAAGGGCTTGCAATCTTGGGCTGGAGGGTGATGAAGGCTATTCTCACAAATATTTAGACTTTCTCCACAATCAGGGTCTTAGTAGGACTGCACATGCCTATTCAATTAAGTTAGGTACAGCCATTTTACTTTTTTTTGCCAAGGAAATGTGAGCAGAAGTGACTAACACTGGACACTAAGAGCTAGTACATGTATCACCATGTTCTTTTTTCAAAATGGTTGCTGCTTGTGGCTGTGATAAACAGAGCTCCCTTATCCCTGACTGACTCTTGCTGTATGTGTAGCAAGAGTGAGATATGAACCTTTGCTATTTTAGGTCACTGAGATCTGGGGGTTTGTTACTGAAGCCTAACTTGGCTTCACATGAATAGTATGTTATAACAGGCCATGCATCATCTAAGTTACAAGAAGCAGAGAAGGCTGGTTCTAGAGAAAAGAGAAGGAACAGACATAGAGATAAACGGAAGTACCACCAAGAAAAAGAAACTGGGCAGATATCACCACATTTCAATTTCAGGGGTCCCTAGCATAACACCCTTTCTTTCCTGTTGCATGAGAGTCTATTTTCCAAGAAAGTTAAAAAACAAAACAAAAACTTACCAAAAAGCTGCTGGGGGAGCCTACTCAATACTGTTGACACCAAGAATGTTTTTAGAATTTACAGATTTCTTCAGCACTTGTTATTTAATCACTTCTCAATAAATGTTTGTTGAATGACTCTCTACTGGCAACCCAAAATCAGGGAAACAATATCTAGAAAGGAAAGATGACAAAATTAGGTTTATTTCCATTCCAAATAGGGACTCTATTTTCTGAAGAATAAATGTAAGTATTGTGGAGGGGTAGGAAAAATGACCTAAGAATATTTATTGAACACTTTTTGGTGTGCAATGCAGTTAGCTATTGTTTATGGATTTAAGGAAGGTGGATAGGAGACTTGGATCTTTTCTTGTAGGAAAAGTATCTATGTGTGCTGTAGGATTAAACTCTCTCTCCAGGGGTCACTTAATGTGTATTTTCTACCCTCTAACTGTTGTCCCAAATGCTTTCAGGTCCCCCCTATAGGTGTGCTGATCACATATCTCAGGTTTTTAGAAGTGCTTGAATATTAAATATACGGTCCCTTTCCCCCACAAGAGCGCCTGTACTTGCCATCCCACATTCCCAAGACAGATAGGAAAGATGGCAATATGAGTGTCATCTGCTAATGTGACGCATTGAACAGGAATACTCACTTGAAGATATACACTAGGGCTTGCTTGTGTAAAGTAACAAAACAAAAGCCTCATTACCTGATAGTCACACCATGTTTAACAGCAATAGCTCTATCTGTGTACCGTGACTCTCTCCGAGTCAACAGTGCTGACTCAAGCAATTAAGGGAAAGTGAAGAATCTATAATTAAAATGGAAGATAATTACTTCTTCCATTGGGTTTTGGAATGCAGTGTGTTATGCTCACAGCTCATTGTCCCATGGAACATGATACAGCGTGTTCACCTCACACACAGGGAGTTTTCTTTCTCAAAGGTTTGTGATGCTACCGTCAAGGACCCAAATAGACATATGCCCTGCTTACCAGGGAGGATTTGGAGCTCTGATGAATCTCTTTAGGCCTTTGTGCTGGCTTTCCTCCTTTATTTAGTAGCACACAGCTGGTCCTGATTCTGCCGAAAGCCCTGAGCACACTTGCTACCTTGCACAAGCAACATGTTTCTCCCAGTACAAAAAATAAATAAATAAATACAAAGCCATATGAGTTTTCCTGCCCTCCATCTTATCTCCTGTTTTTCAACAGCAATAGTTTTAATCACTCTGATTCAAGGTAATTCAGCTGTCTTAAGAATGGCACTATTCCTTATGTACATAAAATTTAAGGGGCACTTTTTTTTTAAACTGAGGTAATGCTGGTTCATAACACTATATGTGATTCAGAGTACTTTCAAGTTCATTACCTCCTGCTCACAGCCTTTTATGACAGCATCAGATGAGTGCTTTTAGTCCCACTCTATAGATTAGGAAAGCAAGGGCAGTGACTAGCTCTAGATCACC